CAAAACTTTTATAATAATTTTAAAAAACTTTCTTAACAAAGTTGTTAAAATAAATATTAAAAAATATATTTTACTTAAAAAAATATTTAAAGTTAATATTAAAATTTTGTATTACAATTAAAAAATAAAATTAAGGTATATCAAGTCATTTGATCTATAATTACAACACTTAAGAAGAAATATCTCATGTCTGTTATATATATATAATAATTAAGTTATTTATATAGTCTAAATTACTAGTTTAATCTAATATATTTTTATCTAACTTGATTTTCAAAGATGTATAGTTACTATTATTACAGAAAAAATATCATCAACTCAAGTTTTCTATATTACATACTTGGTCAAACATATACAGTATTTGTTATTTGTATATTGTATAAAAAATAACAGATTTATATTTATTAGAGTTGTTAATATAGGTTATAGATCTTTTGTAAATAGTAAGTTGAATCTTCTAAAAATATTAATAAGTTAGAAAAAAATCTAAAAAATAATATAGAAAGAGACTACTTTTAAAAGAATAAGATTTTACTACTTGTTTTCTCATTAAAATAATACAAATTTATATTGTAAGTATACTAATAAACTACTAATAAATATTACTTGAAGTATTAGTGATATTTAACAATTTTTTTATTATGATTACTTTTTTATAGTATTGAGATAAGTTTATAGAATTGGACATTAGCGTTTAAAATTTTCGATTGTTAATTAAGACAACTCAATAAAAGAAATGTAAAAAGTTTGTGAACGTTTGCTAATCAGCCAATTTCTTAAACTGAACAAACGCTTTATATTCATCTATTTGAACTCCAATTCCTTTTAGATAACAATAAGCAACATTATACATTCCATCAATGCTCCCCATATCAGCGGCTTTTTGATAATAAACAAATGCCATGTGTTCATCCTTTTCAACACCAATTCCATTTCGATAATAATATCCAAGATCATCGATTGCATTAATATTTCCCATTTCTGCAGATTTTTGATAATAAATGAAGGCTTTATGGTCATCCTGCTCAACTCCAATTCCTCTTTCATAACAATCACCAACATAGTATAAACCTTCATCATCACACAAATTAGCAGATTTTTGGTAATAAATGAATGCTTTACGTTCATCCTTTTCAATACCAATTCCATATCGATAACAATAACCAATTTGATAGATTCCATTAGTATCACCCATATCAGCCGATCTTTGATAATAAATGAATCCTTTATGTTTATCCTTTTCAACTCCAAATCCATTTTGATAACAATAACCAACATTATACATAGCCGTAGAATTACCCATATCAGCAGATTTTTGATAATAATTAAATGCTTGATACTCGTCTTTTTCAACTCCAATTCCAATTTCATAACAATATCCAAGAAGCATTATTCCATTAGCATGACCCATTTCAGCAGATTTTTTATAATAAAAAAAAGCTTTATTTACATCCTTTTTAACACCTATTCCTTCTCTATAACAATCACCGAGTCTATTTATTCCATAAGAATTATCCATATCAGCAGATATTTTATAATAATAAAACGCTTTTTTTTCATCTACTTCAACTCCAATTCCTTCTTCATATAATTCACCAAGATCTGTTATTCCACAAGAATTTCCCATATAAGCACATTTTTGAAAATAAGTGAAAGTTTTATATTCATCCCTTTCAACCCATTTTCCATAACGATAACAACGTGCAAGAATGCATAAAATTGTAGAATTTTTTTGATTATTTAAACATAAATTAATTAAATCTTCCGGTTTTAATTGATTATTTATCAAATATTGTTCTATTGAATTAAGAAATATTGGATCATAATTTCCTTTTAATATTTCTTCTTCATGTAATTTACATAATTCATTAATGATTTTTTTATTTATAATATCTTGAGAATCAACGATATTTTGTATGGAACAACTGTTTGACATAGTTACGTATTAAGTTCTTAGTTAACGTTAAGTACGTATTATCGAAAGTTCAAATTTATGCGACAATAAAGAGGTTGAAAACTTGTTTGTAATCTTAATTTGGAAAGTGTGGCTTTTTTTTCAAATTTAATGCGCACTATTTCAATTAGATGTAAATTTGGCTGGCATTATGTCGGCTTGTCTGTATATAAAAAAATCACACAAATCATTAGTCACGTGATCGATTTCAGATACGTATTTACTATAGGTGCAGGTTAATTGTATCTTATTTTATAAACCGATTTTTTATATAGGACGTAACTGGGTGATGTCATAAATCTGCACCTATAGTATTTACCCTGTAAAAAATTTTAAGTTCCGCGTGCTATATTCTAAAAAAAAATAATTCAAAAATTACAGAAATGCGCATAATAAACCTCTGGTCAGATTGTTTTTTTTTTTTTTAGGCAATAAATTTCTCGACAATTTTAAAGATTTAAAACAATATATGCAAATGTTTATTGAAATATATAATTGATATAAAATCTAAATCTCCGAAATTTCCGACTACCATCATCACAAAAATCTCAGTGTCACACTTTATTGCAAAGCGCCATAATTATACTGTAATATATCAGTCAGGTGGGGGGAGGAGTTCTACAGTAAATTGAAATAACCTGTTTTCTGTCCCTTCCCTCCCTTTAGAGAAATAGAGAAAGCTCTGGGGTTTCTTTGATGGATATTATAACCATAGCTTGTGATGTGCCGCATACAGTACGCGAAAATTCTTGCCGATCATTTCGATAAATTCTACCAACTATACGTACTGTACGTGAAAAAAATTCGGGTATCATATAAATGGCACATCACTAACCACAACAGTTTTGTTGAACAATAATCAATATAAAGAACCAAGTATAAGGTAAAATAGCGTGCAAATATTTGTGTTCTAGCTATCTTTAAACCTAGTGAACAACTTGTTAGCAATACAGGGAATTTTATGATCATAAAACATAAAGATTGAACAAATTTATTTTTTATACGTATAATTTAATCGATAGCACCTCAAATTAGAAATTTATTTTGGTGTTTAGTGAGAAAAAAATTATTTCGGCAGATTCATCGGATTTCACCAGATTTCATCAGATTTCGTCAGATAGCCTATAACCGGATATAAAAATCCGGTGGATTCGGTAAAAAAAAAAAAAAAAAAAAAGAAAAAAAAAACAGTCGGATATCCATGGATCCAAATATTCATAGTAGAAAAAAAATTTTAAGTAGTAACTATCACTAAACTATTTTATAGTCCAACTCTTTCCCAGTTCAAGATAATTTTATAACGTCACAACTAAATTTATTATCCAAATATTTTATGCTTAAAATTATTTATTAAAATAGATAGATCACATTAGTATAAGGGAAAAATAAATTTTTCATAATTTGATTTAGTTATGATGTTCTTTACCGAAGTAAAGATTATAGAAAGTTACATAATGACTAAAATTTTTCAATTTTTTTAGCAAAATATTTATATACTTCCGTACTGGAATGATTTTGATTAAATTCTTCATCAAGATCATTTAATAATTTTTGATAATCATTTTGAGATATTCCCATATAGTCGGGTAAATAAGTAATAGATTCATAATACGTTTTAATTGACTCAAATATCTATAAATAAATATTAATATATATATATATATATATTGCATATACGTAATAATAAAATGAACTTACATATTCTCCATGCATTCCTGCCCGTCCGCCTATTGGACAAACTGTTTTCTTGCATTCAATATTAGTTAATTCATCGATTGATTCAAGATATTTAGGTATTTCTAAAAATATTGTGGGATCAAATCCATTTTCTCTTGACTTTGAATGTACTGTGATATATTATAATTAATTCTAAAAAAAAATAAAATAAAAATAAATAGGTCATAAATTTATGAGATTTAATTATTTAAACTTACAAGCATTTTGGAGAATTGTCATCGACTTTCCTATTGTTTTAAATTTCATATTAGGTTCTTCAATCTCAATCCATCCATTATTCTTTATAACACGTACTAATTCTTTAATAGTATCAAAATATTGCTGTTTTGTAAATGAATACCACATTATTGCCATACGAACAAAATCAAATGTCTTGTCAGGAAATGGAATTCCTTCTAGTAAATTATGCTTTAGAAATCCAGCATTCGAAGGACGTTCATATAAAGATGGAAAACCTCTTGATAAAATATCTATGCCAACAAATGTTGAATTGGGATAATCGGATGCTAAATCAAGAATCCAAAAACCTGTTCCACATCTGTTGAGCAAGTAAAATGTTAAGATATGTACGTACAGTACGCTAAGCTATAAATAACTTCAAAAATTTTATATTGCGTACCCGATATCAAGAACATTAGCTCTACCATTTTTTAGTATTTCTTCAACTGGGGAAGAAAAATTTCCTTTCCATAAATATTGTCTTAATATATGAGTAACCTCATTTCGCTTAAGTTCTTTTTTATCAGATGGCAAAAGGTAATTCACTTCATTAGAAATTAAGAATTTCCTTCCGCCGATATTTTCAAAAGGATCTAATACTTCATTTATGCTTGATTTAGTAAAATTTTTATATTGATTTAAAATACATCCTCTGCTGTAATTTGATTTCTTGTTTTTATTAGAATCTGACATTTTATTACTGTATTTAAGTAAATATAAATATTTTTTTAAAAGTTTTTTTTTTTTTTTTTATCTCAAATTTGATAACCGATAAATGATAGAATTTTTAAATAAGGATTTAAACGTGCTGATGTATTACAATGGGAGATTGCCGAAACAATAAATTAAATGCGTTTAAAAATTCATTTTTGTGTAATGCAGATTGCCAATAAAACTGGTAATCTTGCATTAATTTACTAATATTTTGATAACAATAACCTAGTCACATTAACTATTTCAAGTAATACGAGAAGATTATTGATTGTTGCGGCAAAAACTTGTACGTACGTACCTACCAATTAAATTTCAGATTAATTAGCGTGGAAACTGATACGTATATTGTATTTAAAAATTTTATTCTTTTAAACGAATATTCGGAATTTAGAAGAAGTAAATGTACTGATTAATATAGTATAATTAGTATAATTAGTATAATTAGTATAATTAGTACTTTAGATGCTCTTGTCAAAATTTAAATACTTGAGATATAATGTAAATTATCTTCGTATTATACAAATTAATGTTAAGATAATTACGTAGTGATGGGAAAAATGCTCATTTTATAACATGTGCATAAATGCTCATTTTATAATATGTGCATAAAATGTGCATAGATGCTCATTAATGCGCATGATATCGCTTGAAAAAAGTAAAAAAAAAAAAAAAAAAAAAAAAAAATAGAGGCGTTTTTGGTTGGTTGATTTTCCGACAACCTTTTTGCCGACAGACATTTTGGGCCCGATTAAGGGTTAGGTTAGCCAGATTTATAGCTAATGTTGGCTATAGATTGATTGTCAACGAATTGTATCAAAACCCCAATTGAAATGTTAAATATTAAGGTTTTTTAAAATTTCTAGTTATTTTTGGTGAATAGCATTAAAAATTATATTTACAAAAAAAAAAAAAAATTCTTTTAGCTTGGTATCAATTCGTGATTCAGTTGATTCTAAATTAACATACATTTATTATGAAATATGTCAAATTTAGCTAAACTAAATAATAAACTTTAGATTGCATAGAAAACTTTTTAGTTTTAATAATATTTGATTATTATATTTTATTGATATAGTAATAGTTTCAAATATTCATTACAGATTAATTTTTTTTAATTTATTCCTTATACCTTAAATAATTGAAACAGTAGTATGAAGAGTGAAGACCATTACTAATATAATCAGTATTTAATACTCTAGAAATCATCCAAATGCATATAAAAATCAACGTTTCAATATTAGATTTTTTTATAAGTTTACAGTTGGAAACATTGAAAAATAAAAATTATAATCATGCCCTATGAGAAAAATGTACTGGATCAGCACGGTTGGCAGTATGGTGTTACGAAAAATTTCTGCATTATGATCTTGCTAGATTTTTCAATTATTACTTTATCGTTGTTAGTATCAGTGGCCGTGTAGATAAGATCTGGGTTTGAGACCCAAGATCAGTGTATAGAACCCAAGATCAGATTGATAATTAAACTGTATATATATGTCGTGCCTGAAGTTGCAACTTCAGACAGAAATTATTATCAATTGTTTACATTAGCAATTTTAAATATTGAATGATTAGGTTAAAAAGTGATAAATTGATAGGGATCGTAAAATTGCTTATGAGTCACCAATGAGTTGCTTACAAGTTTTTATAACTCATTTACGAGTAGTGATCAGAAAAGATTAGCTAGAATAACCCAAAACTACCTAAATCTGATAATTTTGGATTATTTGAGTTAAGCTGTTTACGAGTTATCACTCAATTCCAATAATCATAGCGATCCAACTGGAAATTTCCACTCATATGTAACTTCAGATGCCTGGAGTTGTAACTTCAGGTGCCTCGAATTGCAACTTTAGGTGCAACTTAAGGTGCCTGGAGTTTTAACTTCAGGTGCCTGAAGTTGTAATTTCAGGTGCTTGGGGTTGTAATTTTAGGTACCTGGAGTTGTAACTTTAGGCGCTTAGAGTTGTAACTGGAGTTGTAACTTTAGGCGCTTAGAGTTGTAACTGGAGTTGTAATTTTAGGCATTTTAAGTTATAACTTCAGGTACCTGGTGTTGTAACTTCAGGCACCTGGAGTTGTAACTTCAGATATCTGAAATTGTAACTTCAGGTATCTAGAGTTGTAACTTCAAAGTAATTTATGCACCTAGTGTTGTAACTTTAGCACTAAAGATGTAATTTAGGTACCCAATGTTATAACTTTGGATACTTGAAGTTGCAACTTTGGATATCTGAAGTTGTAACTTCAGATACCTGAACCTGAAGTTGTAACTTCAGGCATCTGGAGTTGTAACTTCAGGCATCTAGAGTTGTAACTTCAGGCATCTGGAATTGTAACTTCAGGCATCTGGAGTTGTAACTTCAGGCATCTGGAGTTGTAACTTCAGGTATCTGGAGTTGTAACTTCAGATATCTGAAGTTGTAACTTCGGGTATTTGAAGTTGTAACTTCAGGTATTTGAAGTTGTAACTTCAGGCATCTGAAGTTGTAACTTCAAACATCTGAAGTTATAATTTGTATTTAAAATAAATATTAATTTTGTTTTAGCTATTACTATCAGTTTCTAAGCATATGATCAAGAAAAAAAATAGTCAAATTAAATACTTTACAAATAATAAAAAAAAGTAAACAAATAAAATCTAATATACCCTGGTAACAGTACTAATACCCCAATACACATTCTCAACAATTTTATTGAAGATGCTTCCATTCACAAGAAACCTCTCTGGATCTTGTCTCAGGATATGGGCAAAACATATGACTCAGTCAATTCTGATCTTTTCTCTAAATTACTACATAGAATCCAAATGCCAACTCAACTCATTAATATACTTACAAACCTTCTAACTGACTATAACAACAAGGTTATCACTAACTTCGGTCTAACTTCACTATATGGAGTGCTGTCAACTAAAAGAGTCCATTTTTACATTTTAAAAAAAATTTTTTATTTATTTTTCAATAGATATATATTCAAAGAAAAAATTTACTATAAGTCACAAAAGCATGTAATATAATAAAAAGATCAGTGAAATGCAAAAAACTAAAAACATTACATAAATCTAAAAATAGAAATTACCAGTTTCTGAATTTAATAAAACGTTCTAAAAATGTAGATCTCATTGGAAAAGTTTAAACTAATGCTAAAGTTAATTACTAGCAAAAAAGTTAAACTACTGTAATACACAAAATAACATGTCAAAACTAACAACTAAAAGTTAACCTTACACTCTAAAAAAAACTATCATACATTAAATTTTTTTATACAGTAAAATTTTGTTTTATTTTTTTTTAAGCACTAACTTACTAAAAAACGATTAAGCTAGTTAGATTACTTGCTATAGAAGTACTGTGATTAGATCTTTACGGACATAACAAGATAATTGGCTAGTTACGACAGTTATATGTGGGTTAGGAGCATATGACAGAGTTAGTAAAGGTAATTGAAGTCATTTTAATTTCCTAGAATTTGGTTCAAAATCTACCAACAAAGCTCTTTTTTAAATTTCAGTAAATTTGCTTCAAATACTATTATTGTCCTTTCTAATTCTGAAAGTCTTAAGTTCAGGTTAGATTTGGTTCAATAACTACTAGCAAAGAAGTTCTTTTCTAAATTCTAAGTGAATTAGTTCAGATGTTGCTAGTATTTGTTATTAAGTAAATGTTTTGTGAATGATCTTTCAGATGTAATATATCAATTAGTTGGTTACGATAGTTATACATGGGTTAGGGGCTCATAACAGATTAGCAAAAGTAATTGAAGTCATTTTAATTTTCAAGGATTTGGTTCAAAAACTACCAGCAAAGCTCTTTTTCTAAATTTTAGTAGATTTGTCCTTTCTAATTCTGAAAGTCTTAAATTCGAGGTGCTCAGAGTGAATTTTGTTTAATAACTACTAGCAAAAAAGTTCTTTCTAAATCCCAAGTGAATTGGTTTAGATGCTGCTAGTGTTTGTCATTGAGTAAATATTTTGTAAATGACTTTTGAACATATATATTAATTAGTTAGTTACAATAGTTATACATAGGTTAGAGACACATAACAGGTTTGCAAAAGTAATTGGTCATTTTAATTTCCAAGAATTTGGTTCAAAAACTACTAGCAAAGCTCTTTTTTTAAATTTTAGTAGATTTGTTCTTTCTAATTCTAAAAGTCTTAAATTCAGAGTGCTCAGAGTGGATTTCGTTCAATAACTACTAGCAAAGAAGTTCTTTCTAAATCCTAAGTGAATTGGTTTAGATGCTGCTAGCGTTTGTCATTAGAGCAAATATTTTGTGAATGATTTTTTCAGATGTAATATATTAATTAGTTGGTTACAATAGTTATATGTGAGTTAGGGGCACATAACAAGTTGGCAAAGGTAATTGGTCATTTTAATTTTTGAGAATTTGGTTCAAAAACTACTAGCAAAGCTCTTTTTTTAAATTTTAGTAGATTTGTCCTTTCTAATTCTGAAAGTCTTAAATTCAGGGTGCTCAGGGTGGATTTCATTCAATAACTACCAGAAAGAAGCTCTTTCTAAATTCCAAGTGAATTAGTTCAGACGCTGCTAGTGTTTGTCATTGGAGCAAATATTTTGTGAATGATTTTTTTAGACATAATATATTAATTAGGTGGTTATGACGTTTATGTGCAGGTTAGGGTGCATGACAGGTTGAGGTAATTGAATTCATTTAATTTCTGAAGATTTGGTTAAAAAACTACTAGCAAAGCTCTTTTTTTAATTTCTGTAGATTTGTCCTTTCTAATTCCGAAAGTCTTAAATTCAGAATACTCAGAGTAGATTTCGTTCAATAACTATTAGCAAGGAAGTTCTTTTTAAATCCCAAGTGAATTAGTTCAGATATTGCTAGCTTTGTCGTTAAGTAAATATTTTGTGAATGATCTTTCAGACATAATATATTTAATTAGTTGGTTATGACAGTTATGCATGGGTTAGGTACACATAACAGGTTGGCAAAGGTAATTGAAGTCAT